GATTTCTTTTACCTCATGGATTGTTGGAATTACAGACATGAGCCACCAAGTCCACTTTCTACAATCAATGTCTGTGAATGCGATTTTTATTCACATATGAAATTAATGAATTTTAGGAGATTAAAACATGGATTAAACATGAATTAGTGTTGGAAATTTGAACATCTATAATCAGGGAAAAAAATTCAAAGTCTATGTACCCTTATAGCTTTGAATATTATTGCTTTCTTCATTTAAGTATACCCTACCTAAAATTTGTAATGTCATCTACAAGATTGGCTAAGAACTCAGAATTTTCTTCCAAAATTTTCATTCCCATAAATTTTAATTACAGGTTCCTATATTAGTTACTTTTCTGTTGCTGTGATAAAATATTATGGCCGAGGCAGCTTAGCGAAGGAAGAGCTTATTTGGGCTCCTGGTTTCAGAAGTTTAGAATCCATGGTTGTGGTGCAGAGATAGCAGGCAGCAGGCAGTGGATGCGGAGAGTAGATGATGAGTTCTCACATCTTGAACCAGAAGCAAGAGGATTTTGAAACCTCAAAATTTGTGCCCAGTGACATATTTCCTCCAGGAAGGTCATATCTCTCAAACCTATCCAAACAGTTTCATGAACTGGGGACCAAGTGTTCAAACATTGGCGCCTATGGAGAACGATCTCATTCAAAGCACCACAACTCCCAAATTCTTTGATTCTCCATTAGTGGTATTTTTAACTTTCTAAAGCCCCCCCCAGGTGCATTTTTCCTATATGTTTAATTCTACTGGTGTAAAAATGCTTCTTTCTTCATATTTCTTAATATCACACCTATATTGTTGCTAATTTAGCCTTCAATCATAACAGCTACAAGAGGATCAGACACTCCATTTTGTGTTCTTACTTTGCTATAAACTGATGACAAAGGAAGTGTCACACAAAAAATGTTAGTGATGAGAAGATTCTCAATAAGCACGCACTGAGGTAAGAGTAACTACTTCGCAGCCTATATACTAAATCCAAAGATAAAACCGCATTTAGGATGCACCCCTTGCACACACCTCCTTTTGTATAAGCAATACAGTCAGTGTAGCTGCTGATATGATAGTACTTATAGGACTTTTTCCGCAGATGGCTGGTGATGCAGAACACATTCTGGCTAAGTGCCTCAATCTTTTCTTGGTGGTTTCATTCTATGAGCCATCTACTCAGCATTAAAAGATCATATGCTTTACGTTATTTCCCTAAAATGGTAATGAAACATATTGAGCCATCTAAATTTTCTCAGTTATCTTAGGAGGGAATAAAAACAGCATTTGAACAGTCTCTGGCATCAGAGAAACCATGCTACAGCTTCTTATTGTGGGACCTAAAGCAAGTTACTCAAGTGTGTGTGTGGTTTTTTTTTTTTTTTGAGACAATGCTTTACTATGTAGCTCAAGTTAGGCTCAAATCCACAATCCTCATGACTCAGTCTCCCGAGTGCTGGGATTACTGTCATGTGTAACCACACCTGGCTACTTAGACATGAGTATCCACAAAATGGGCACGATAGGCAGTGATCTACTTATGGACCCTAAGATTCTTTCCCAAGGCCTTGATTATTTGCCTCCTAATTCTTAATGACTTTTACTTTCATGATTCTAATTTGTTGCACAATATAGCTGATCTTCTTACAAAAAATGTATTAGTTGTATTTTTGTGTATGAATTATTGTTTACCTATATATTTGCATGTCACATGTGTGCCTGGTGCCCATGGAGGTCAGAAAAGGGCATGTGTTCCCACAGATCTGGAATTCCTGACCCTTTTGAGCCGCTATGTGAATGGATTCTGAAAATGGAACCTGGGTTCTCTGCCAGAGCAAGAGCAACAAGTGCTCTTAACTGCCAATCATTTCTCCAGCCCCAACATAGTTGATCTTGATATGGAGAAAATATCTCAGTGAGCCTGTACAAGCAGAATATTCTCCAGTTATGATTGCAAAACTGAGATTGAAAGCACAAGTTTTTATTGGGCCATTGCTGGTGTTGTGTAGGTAGCCCTTTCTTCCAAGATGGAAACATTCCACCCTGAGAGCTATTTCCTTAAGCAGAGAGCTAAACAACTCAAAATAGTTTCAGGCGTCCCTGAAATTGACCAAATTCACTAGGCCCCTCCCCCCAACAGTAAACAAGACAAGCTGCTAAGTACCCCTTCAGACAACAAGACAAGCTTCTAAGAACCCCGTCAGACAAGCCCAAGGTGCAAAACAGACTCTCAGATGAGCCAGGCTGCAAAGATCCTGAGACCAGCCCAGCTGCCTGGAAGATGCAGAAACCTACCAAAGTGCCTGGAAGACACAGAAACCTACCAAAGTGCCTGGAAGACACAGAAACCTACCAAAGTGCCTGGAAGACACAGAAACCTACCAAAGTGCCTGGAAGACACAGAAACCTACCAAAGTGCCTGGAAGCAGTTTCAGACCAACTGACTGTCCTTCCTAAGTGACTCAGATATTTGTGTTTCTTCTCCCCAGGAAAAGTCTTGTCATACAAAAGCTGGCTCTGAGAGTTACCCCATGCACGGACCAGTGAGAAGCTTTTCCATCCACGAGCTAAAGCTAACAGCCCCAGAAAAAATAGGCATCAAGAAAAGAACCACAGTCTATGGCCACAAAGAAACAATTGTTGCTAACAATAAAGGGAGATTAAAAGCTGGTTGTCTCACAGACAAGCCACAGAAAGCCCAACACATTGATTCCATTCTTGTGAAAAATTAAATGGGAGAATCCAGCCATATCCAGTCAGATTAGACTTCTGACCTGCAGAACTGTGAACTAACAAATTAACATTGCCACAAACTATTGTTCTGTGGAAAGATACTGTACAGCAATAGTACTTATGGGGGTCACTGCGAGCCTATGGTGGGCAGCAGAGATCCATGGGAGGCAAGAAAGTTCACCGTGACTCAGTAGTTGGTGTTGGTTCAAACTTAGAGAGCCTGACACTGAGCAGTTTATTTTAAATAGATTCAAGCACAGCACAATTTGGAAAAAAGAAATCCCTAGTGATAAATAACTCAGTGCTGTGTGTACAACAAAGCTTAAGATATGAAGATGCTGAAACTCCCTGTAAAGTACATGTGACTTCTTCCATAAAGATAGGCTCTATAGATTAACTGAGAAAAACCAGCTCATGATAAGGGTCTGTGGGAGGATCCGGTGTTGACTCAGCCACGCAGATAGTACAAAAGTCACCAGGCTATCAACCAGGTCAGCTCCCAGCCTTGTGGGCAGGAAACCGGTTGTACATCTCTTCTCTTGAAGAGACAACACTGTGTGTTTAATATTCCTGGTCCCTCTAGTGCTTATCTGTGAGCAGAAGGACCTCTGTGCCTTCCACAAAAATTAAAACTGCGGACGATGGAGACGATACTTGAACATGCCAGCTTTTATGGGAACTAGCATCGTATTTGTGAGAGAGATAAAGCAGAAGATATCCATGAAAAACAGACCACACAACATGGCTGTTAAGCCAGGGTCTGCTTTCTCCAGTAGAGCTGACAGAAAGTGTTCCTCAAGGAAACCGGGCATCTGGTGGAGTGCGGAGTTTATCAAGTGGAACCCTGGATGTGTTAGTGTGTTACTGTTCCCGGATCTTCTAGCAATCCAACCAAACCATACACACGTACATCCCAAACCACTCCTGTGTGTTTCCAAACATCCTCTCTCCCAAGGGGGAGAGCTGAACAAAGAATGTCTAGGCCTCCTACTGTAGAAGAAGCTATTCCTTAACAAAACTTTGCAGATAAAAAGAATGTGTGGCTGTATCAAATGTCATAAAACTGCTTCACTGATTACAATGGTTGCCAAATTGCATAGCCCTGAGAACCACTAGAGGCGCTCACTAAAAATGACTCTCCAGTTCCTTGTGTAAAATCTCACCCTTTATATAGATTGGTGTGGGGGTCCAAGCACCCCTATTCTTAGTTGAGTATCCTAAGTAAATCTTTTGCAGTTTGAAAACATTAGGTGAGAAATCTACTTAGCTATATCACTACACTGAACTATTCGTCACATTTAAAGCACAGACTCTGCCGATATAGGAGGTACGTTTTTTTCCCCCCTCTGGGGACTTAATCTAGGGTCTCATGCATGGTTTGTAAGCACTCTACCGATGGGCCGCAAACCCAGTCCATGGAATTAATATTTTTAAGCCCATGCCTCCAATTCTGTGCTTATTGTACTACTTTGGACTTCCTTTACCAGATAGATTTTCTCAGGTGGCAGTGCTATTGACTCCTTCCATTGTTCTTCCTTTAATCCTATTCTCCTCAGGATACCTACTCTGGATTTCATCCAACCCCAGTGGCAGGTTAGCAACCGTTCCTGCAGTATCCCTGGAGTGTGCACAACCACAGCCAATGGCATTTTCCATCGTTTCAAAGCTTCTCTACTAATATCCACACTCCACCAGCAATAAGAATCTGGAACCCAGGGGCTATATGAGAGAGCACAGTTCGTTCTCCCTAGGCTCTCTTATTAATTGCTGGTACTAGACTTTGCGAGTCCTCTCATTCTGCAGCCTGTCTCAGCTCTCCCTCCGTTCAGCCAAGTCTCAACAAAATAATAGGATGTATGCTACTGGGGAAGGCCTCCGCATTTCCAGTAGGATAGACCTGAGACGAGAGTGCCAGAGCTGATAGCAAATGACTTCCCTGTTATAAAGCCGCTACAGCGTGGCTTTTAAAGGCTGGGGTGAGAGCCAGCTGAAATGACAGAGAGGGAAAGACAGCAAACGCAGAGCCTTCAAATTAGCATAGCCCCGCCCCGCGACGCTTGGACAATGCCCCTTTCCCCAGCCCTTAGCCCTTCCCACTAGCCTGTCGGCCCGCCCCCGGACCAAATGCTAAGCGGGAACCCACACAGCATGATGCGGGGAGCGGGATCCGCGGCGGCTCCGTCCAGGTGCTTCCGGCTCCCACCGGACGGAGGCGCGCTCGGCCCCGGGCTCGTTCTCCCAGGGAAGTGTGTTTAGGCGCACCGGAAGCCACCTCAGGGGGTGAGCCATGGCGGGTTTGCCTGTTAGAGACCCTGCGGTGGATCGTTCTCTGCGTTCTGTATTCGGTGAGAGGATTTCGGTGGCGCCTCTCCGGGCAGGGAGGGACATCCCCTGTGGTCCCCAGCTGGAGCGGGTGTCGGGGCGGGCGTGCCGCTTCGCCGCTGTCCTTTCACGCGGCAGCCTGGTGTACTCGTGGGCTAACAGACTCCCCCCCCCCCCGCCCCCCCACGACACCTCCGCTCCAAGGTATTGGAGATTTTCCGCAGTGTGGTTCAGGGAGCTAGACTCTAGCGTTGGTCTTCTCTGCGTTTTCCCCTTCATGATTCTCAGTTATTTTTTAGGAGAAAAGGTGCGTGGAAACAGAGCGTCCCTGTTCCGTGCTGCTTCTCTTAGCCCAAAATACAGATTTTATTCTGAAGCCATCGACCCTATATCCACTTCCCGCCCTCTCATAAACGCGTAATATCGCTTGCTTTTTACTTGTAACGTTTCATCCAACCATAGTGGTAGCGGCCACCTGGCATCTTGAGGTGGGTTGTGAATGAATGAATGATTGATTGATTGATTAAAGCTCAGGGACATTTTAGAGAAGCGAAACTAAGCAATTTTTAAGATTTAAACGAGTTACTTCTAAAATACGTGTCTTGCTTTTAAGCACGTTTTGGAGGCTGTAGAATTGCCTCGAATTCCAGGCCAGCCTAGAACTACATAACAAGGCGAGCCAGAGCTACATGTAAGACTCTCAGAAAGAACCAGAAGCACTGTTTGGAAGAAACGTACCAAAGCAGTGCTTTTTAAAAGGCCTCCCCTATTCATGGCTACTCCTCCACAAGTGTGTTTATGCGTAGAAATAAAGACATGAGCCCACCCCCTTTAGTTTCTGGTTTTGGTAGTCACTGGCTGAACTCACAGTTCTGTGGGTAAATACCAGTGCTTAAACATTGATTTTCATCAAAGTTAGGGGAAACATGCTAGTTGTCATATCTGTCCAAGAACTGTTTGGAAGACATCTTTTTTTATTTAGTCTCTGGCTCTGTTCTGAGGTCTGAAAAGAAACAGTGGAAGTGGGGTTTTGAAGAACATTCAGTCAGTTGCTACATATTTATTGATAAAACTAGAAAGCCTACTGTTTACTTGCTCACCAAAGAGCTCCTTACTGTCCCAGCATTTTAATGTATTATCTGTTCCTTAGTGGGAAACATTCCTTATGAAGCTACTGAAGAACAGCTGAAGGACATCTTCTCTGAGGTTGGGCCTGTTGTTAGTTTCAGGTGAGATCCTCTTTTAAGATATTCATGGGAGATCCTTAAAAATCACCACAGATTTTGTGATAAATATACATGCTTTATTATTCAGATCCAGTCTTAGCTGAGAGATTTCTTTCATTAAAAATGTTTCAAAAACACAAAAGCAGAGTTAGAAGGGTATCTTTTTTTGTTTTTTCCTTTTTCTTTTTTTTATGGTTTTTCGAGACAGGGTTTCTCTGTGACTTTGGAGCCTGTCCTGGAACTAGCTGTTGTAGACCAGGCTGGCCTCAAACTCACAGAGACCCACCTGCCTCTGCTTCCCGAGTGCTGGGATTAAAGATGTGCATCACCACCGCCCAGCCTTGGAACTCCTTCTTTAGCCAGGCTGGCCTCAAACTCACAGAGACCCACCTGCCTCTGCCTCCCGAGTGCTGGGATTAAAGGTGTGCATCAGCACCGCCCAGCCTTGGAACTCATGCTTTAGCCAGGCTGGCCTCGAACTCATAAAAAGCTGTCTGCTACAAGGGTATCTTACTGTGGGCTAAATTCGAACATGCCAATGTTAGCAGGAAGTCAGTCTGTACGTATGTAGTATTTGTTCCTGATATTTGGTTTTGCTCTTCAGATTGGTGTATGATAGGGAGACAGGAAAACCAAAGGGTTATGGCTTCTGTGAATACCAAGACCAAGAGACGGCCCTTAGTGCCATGCGGAACCTGAATGGTCGCGAATTCAGTGGGCGAGCACTTCGAGTGGATAATGCTGCCAGTGAAAAGAACAAAGAGGAACTCAAAAGTGAGTATAAATCCAAACCATATCCATTACAAGTTACTGAAGATGAGGCAATGCAAGTTTTCCATTTGTGATTATGCTTTAAAAGATGCTGAGGGTGGTTAGCCCCTGAGGTACCTGAGTGTATTTACCTGATGTGTATGTTTAAGCAACTTGGCTTTAGAAATCCTTCTCTTCCCTAGGAGTTGGTTTCTAGTTTAAGGGGAGTTCAGGTCCACCAAGCCTAAAGGCAGTTCCACAAATCCTTGAAATTAATGTCTTTGTCTGTTTAAATGCTTTTCTTCTGAAGTGACTTGTCAACGAAATCAGTAATGGCATTATCATTGTGTCTGCTATCCTCTAAGAGCAGAAGGTATACTGTCACTTTCCTTTGCTGACTTTTCCTTCCGTGACTTACTTTTCATTTCCAGAGTTTCAAGTTACGGTTGGTGCTCACAGACACTCTGGAAAATAGACACTTGAAATGACTTAAGGTGTTATTTTGCCTTCCTAACTTTGTTGTTTGCTTTCTTCCTAATCAGGCCTTGGCACTGGTGCACCTGTCATTGAGTCGCCTTATGGAGAGACCATCAACCCCGAGGATGCCCCTGAATCTATTAGCAAAGCAGTTGCTAGTCTTCCACCAGAACAGATGTTTGAGCTGATGAAACAGATGAAGGTGGGAGGAGGCATTAGGTTATAAACAAAACAATTTACATCAGCTTTTCAAGGAGTTAATGAACATAATTCCCTGGGCTTAAGTAATTGAGTCTGTAGACACTACGTCTTCCACGTTTTATACACAGAGCTGTTTTTATACACAAACTGTCCAGCATTTTTTCGTGCCCCCATAGATGTTAAATTATAGCTTTGCCCATAAGTGATAATATTACCATATTATAAGTACTTTTTCTTGCCTGCCATGGCCAAGATTTTTTTTTTGTTCAATGTCAAAATCAGTGCTAAATCACCAGGTGTTGTGCTAAATCACATGATGTTGTGTGCCTTAGTATCACCACTTGGCATGCTGAGGCAGAAGTGTCACAGTGAGTTCAATACCAAAATGGGATACATGAAACACTGTCTCATAAAGAAAATCAATAGTAACTGAGATTGTCTTGAGTATTACATTTATGAGATGAAATGGCTCAAATCATTATCATATTCTTAGTATTGACCCTGAAGGTGAATTTTCTTACCTTCTCAGCTCTGTGTCCAGAATAGTCCCCAGGAAGCACGAAACATGTTGCTTCAGAATCCTCAGCTGGCGTATGCTTTGCTACATGTAGCACAGGTAGTGATGAGAATTGTGGATCCTGAGATTGCCCTGGTGAGTGTTTCTGATTCTTATATGGAAATAGTAGGATGTTCTTTGAGTGGGATAAGAACTGCCTGATTGGCTTGTTAAACAGAGAGCTCATAGATGTATCTTTTCACTTTTTAGAAAATTCTGCATCGCCAGACAAATATGCCAACGCTGATTTCAGGCAACCCTCAGCCAGTCCATGTTGCTGGGCCTGGCTCAGGACCCAATGTTTCAATGAACCAGCAGAATCCTCAGGCCCCTCAGGCTCAATCTTTGGTAGGGTTTTATTCTACAGTATTTTTTTTTATCTGTCTTAAAATGTTATTTTCTTTCCAGGGGAATATTGAGAGAAGAAACAGCAGGAATCAGAGCTGGTAATTAAAATTCTTAGGCATAAGAGAAATTTCCAGATCGCAGAGCACATGCTACCTGAAAGAGTGTAGATTCCATTCCAAGTTAATAAAATAGAGATTCTTCCTGTAAACCCTTTTCTAGTAAGCTAATTTTTTGTGGGTGTGTATATCTGCCACTGTGATTATCACTTCAGTATTCCTTGTTATCTCATTTAATCTGCATAGCAGCAAAATGAGGCAAGCATTTTTACTGCCTCCATTCTCAGCAATAACAAAGGACCAAGCACATATTCAAAAGCATGATTGTAACCCTATAGACATAAAAATTTAATACATCTTAAGGTTGACGTTTATATAAAGAAAAGGAACTAAACACTAAAGACAAAATGGGAAAAGGATTTGTCACACATATGATGGGCAAAAGATTAATTCTAAATAAAGAGTATTTAGAATTTAGAGTGGTCATGCTCAAAGATGTCTATTGTCATATAATAGTAGCAAATATTACAAACACATGAAATGTTCATTAGTAAAAAGTGGAGAAAATTTGGTATATATCCAATGGAAAACCTTAAACAGTTAAACTACATGTATAAATAGAAATGACCTTTAGAAACCTAATGCCATATAATATTAAGGTGGGCAAGAATATGTGGTATCAGCACAGATAACTCAAAAATATAATGGCATACAGAAAGTAAAATGAAGTAAATATGGAAACATTTTCCATATGGATATATATATATATTAGCATAAGTTCTCAAACTTTAAAGTGAAATGCAAAAATAGTTCAATATTTATAAGTATGTTTTAAAGATTTATGTTATGTATATCTGTTTTTATGCATATATGTAAGTACACTGTGCATGAAGCGTCCAAGGAGGCCAGAAGAGGATGTCAGCGTTCCTAGAATTAGAGATACAGACTATTTTGAGCTTCCATGTGGATGCTGGGAACAGAACCCAAGTCCTCTGCAAGCGAAACAAGTGTTTATAAGCATTGAGACATCTTTCAAGCCCAAATATAAACATTTTAAATGTGTATAAGAATTCTGAGTAGTTATTTAAGGAGTAGAAATATGAGGTGTAGATGAAAGCCACATAGGAAGTTATGTTGTTTATATCTTTATATCTCTATTTTTCTTTTTTTTCTTTCTTTTGGTTTTTTGAGACAGGTTTCTCTGTGTATCAGTCCTAGCTGTTACAAAGTCCTGGAACTCCCTTTGTAGACCAGGCTGACCTCAAACTCACAGAGTTCTTTCTGCCTCCCAAGTGCTGGGATTAAAGGTGTGCACCACCACCACCTGGCTATATCTCTTTTTCATAAGCAAAAAAGCTTATAAATTATTTTTAAAAATACCAAAATGAATTGTAAGCATAAACAGTTCACAAAACTGAAATTAAGTATTCAGTCTAAAAATATAAACTAAAATAAGCCACAATTTTTCACCTACTGGGTGGGCCGAGGTAAATGTGGATGAATCCTATGATGGCATAAGGCAAAAATTTGTAAACATTTTCTTAAGAAACTCAGTAAATATCGTTGCCTTTAAAAGCTCTTATCATTTCTGTAATGTGAGCTAATATGTAAACGTATCTGATTGTATTCCAGGAAAACCTTACTTATAAAGCCACTGATAGGAACAGGCATGGTGGTGCTTGTAATATTAGCACTTGTAAGATGAAGGCAGGTAGATCAGGATTCAAGGTCATCCTTGGCTACCTAGCAAAACTGAAGTCTCTCTGGGATATTTGAGACCCTACCTCCAAAAAAAGAAACCAAGACAGGGGGACTGCAAATGGTTCAGAAAATAAGAATGCTTACTATCAGGCCTGACAACCTGAGTTCAATCACTGAGAGACACATTATGGAAGGAGAGAATGTATTCCTGCAAATTGTCCTCAAGTGTGCCATAGTATACACACACACACTGGATGGATGGATGGATGGATGGATGGATGACAAGATGGCTCAATAGATAAAAGGAGCTTATTGCCACACCTGACAACCTTAGTTCAATCCCCAGGAGTCATATATAGTGGAAAAAGAAAACTTATGCAAGTTGTCTTCTGATGTCTGACCTCCACGTGCGTGCTAGGGTGTACATGTGGACACAAAAAAATTGAGGGAAATATATATATATATATATATATATATATATGACAGGGTCTCTATATGGCTTTGGGACAGTCCTAGAAATCATTATGTAGACCAGGCTGACTTCGTAACTCACAAAGATCCACCTGTCTCTGCCTCCTGAATGCTGTGATTAAAGGCATGCACCACTATTCCTGGCTTGAAAAAAAATTTAACTGGTTAATAGGTTAGCCAAATTTGGTGATACATACCATTAATCCTAGCACTTGAGGGGCAGAGAGCAATGCGGTGGTGGTGCACACCTTTAATTGCAGAAATCGGGAGGCAAAGGCAGGTGAATCTCTGCCTGGTCTACTCAGTGTTCGGGACAGCCAATACTGTTACATAGAGAAACCATGTCTTGGGGGAGGAGTTCTATTTTTAGTTATTGTTGTAAACCTCTAAAATGAACCATAGAGAAAAGCAGTGATATATACAGACAAGTTAAAAAATATATAAGGCTTTGAATATCCACTAGGGGTCTTGAAATGTATCTGAAGAAAACAAGAGTGCCAGTACATTTCACTCCCTTTACCATCACCACTCACAATGATAAGGTCAGGGGTGAACATGTGAACCAGTCATGAGCTATTGGGATCCATGCTGTTTTGGACTTTATCCAACAGGTAAACCACTGCTGTTGCTTTAAGAAGCAGCCGATATGAGAAGCATCTCTACTCTGAATCTCATTCGTCACTTTATTAGTAAACTATTGTACTATATACAGACTGCAGAGACATGCAGAAAGGGTAGGATAGTACTGAACTCAAGACTCCAAACTGAGTTTGATTTTTAAAAAACTTTATTTTTTGCAGTTCTTTACATTCCAAAGATGTGCATAGTTCTCTATGGAATGCCTCATGAAAAGATTACATTCCCTTTCTCTCAGGCAATTTAATGTATCATTTACAAATTATATACACATTCAAGAAAGTTACATCCAAGGACAGAAATTATTAAAGCTTGAAATTTTTTTTCATAAATTTTTTCATAAAAATACAGTACCAGCAAGATTTTTTTGAAGTCTCAGTCCCTTTTTTGTCTTAAACATAAGGTACATTTTCAACTTATTTTTAGGCACCAGTCAGTGATGTCAAGGATGGGTTGTTATTTGCTGCCTTGCCACATGGATAAGACTACATTAGCCTCTATAGTAGGCATATGCTTCATTTTAACTGCATTCGTATAACCAGGCTCAAGCCACGTACTTCAGTTTGCTTCTTTGGAATTCAGAGTATGTGATAAACCTAATGCTGAGGCTGCAGAGACTTGCTCACACTTGTTTTTCTCTTGGTCAGGGCGGAATGCATGTCAATGGTGCAACTCTGATGCAAGCTTCTATGCCAGGTGGAGTACCTGCCCCAGTGCAAATGGCTGCAGCTGTAGCAGGACCTGGCCCTGGTTCTTTAGCCCCTGCAGGTAACTTTCAGTTAAAGTCTTTACTATTTTATTTCTTTGCCGAGGATTTATAATAGCAACTGCTGAAGTGCAGTTACCTGTTTAATAATAGTATCTTGATATAAAATACATAAAATATATGTGTAATTATAACGTGTTCTAGGTTGAAGACTTTGTTTTGTATTATTTGGAAGAAAAGATCTTGCTGTGTAGCTGGAGCTGGCCTCAAACTTGGCAATCCCTCTAATTCAGATGCCCAAGTACTGGGATTAGAGGCATATGTCACCACCAGCTAAATGAAATCTTAAGTGAGACACGTGTGCTGACCACACACTTGGATGTCACAATAGTGTCAAATTCATAGAGATTTCTATCTGCTCTCCATTTCTGTACTTACCTTGTCATGAAATGTTAGCATAGACTATATCAGTACCTTTTCTATAGAGATTTTTACAGATCACATAGTTTGGTTTTAAACCAATAAAATTAGAAATAATTAAAAGGTGAGTGGGAAGAAGTTTTGACTTGGAAAATTAAGAAACATACTATAGCTATTTAAAGAGGAATTAAAAAAAATCATAAATAGTATAAATTAAAACAAAAAGTAATATATGTTTATATTCCATACAAATACATATGAGAAATAGTAAAGGTGGTGTCTAAAGGAAAATGAATATTCTAAATACCCATGTTACTAACCAATAAAGTAAATTCCATACTGCTACTAATTAATTAGAAAAATAATAAACTACAAGACATCAAGAAGAGGAAATGAGGGCTGGAGAGATGGCTCAGAGGTTAAGAGCACTGGCTGCTCTTCCAAAGGTCCTGAGTTCAATTCCCAGCAACCACATGGTGGCTCACAACCATCTGTAATGAGATCTGGTGCCCTCTTCTGGCATGCAGACAGAATGCTGTATACATAATAAATAAATAAATCTTAAAAAAAAAGAAGAGGAAATGAATGAAGATGGGGATGTAGCTTAGTGGTAAAGCACTTGTCTACCATGTCCAAAGTCTCATGTTCAGTCCCTAGCACCAGGCACAAAAAATTTCTTAACAATAAAAACACCCCCAAAAAAGAACCTAAAAGCAAAACTGAGTGTATCCATAAAATTAAAATAATTAACTTTCAAGGGATGTTGAGTTTATAGTATATATATTTATGAATTCATTAAAATGTCTTGGGAATTTTTTTAGCTATCCTACAGAGCTTGAAAATTACTAAGAAGAAAAAAAAACAACTTATAGAAACATGCAGGAAGAAACTGCTTAAGAGCTTTGTAAAAGAGCAAAGCCAGATGGCCAACAACAACAGCCTCCTTTATGGTTTGGGGTTACAAATAACGTAAAAATAAAATGCTACTAAACGCTCATCAGTGCCACGTTTCAAAGAAGAGGACAATATTTGTAAAGCAGTTTGTACTCATACATCATTGATAGAAATAGGAAGGTTTTCAACCTTTCAAGCAAGTAGTATAACATGAAAGATTCCTACAATCTGACTACCAGTTACACCATTGGGAAGTTAGCCCGTACAAATTAAGGTGTTACATATAATTTTTTAATGTGGGAAATTATGCTCATAATGCCTTCTGCTATCTTTTCCTCATATTCTAAGCCGTTGCGTTGTGTTGGTAATTGGTCTGAATTCAATGGAATGGAACGTTGTGACTGGAAGGAAGCTTTCAAATAATTTTAGATCAGTGGTTTCAAACTTTACTGTGTGTTAGAATCACCTGAAGGGCCTATAAAATGCAGGTTGATGGTCCCTTCTGCCAACTATAATTTAATAAATCTGAGATGCAAAACCTGAGAATTTTCAGTGTTTGCATTTTTCTTGTTGGTAGTGATGTAGCTTGTCTAGCTGGGGGCCACCTTCTGAGGACTGCCATTTGGAACAACTTGTTCATTTTACAGATGAGGAAGTCAGGAATGTAGTAATTTTATTGAGGCACTTGTTCAGAATCCCAGTTACTTAGTAGCAAGAGCTAGACTAGCACCCAGTTCTCTGGGTACTTAATCCCTAAATTTTTTAGTGCTTACCAAGTTCAATGAAATAGGGACAGTGTGATGTATACTTTCTATTTTAAGGAAGTATTAATTAACTGCAAACAAATCAGCTTTCCTTTTGTCCCCACTCAAGAGCATTTCTTGCTCCTTTGAGGAAAAGAGAGTTATTGCTATGTGGAAGGGATCAGACAAGGATTTGTGGTGTATTGATTACTCTCTGTTATAGTAATGTTTGCTTTGGTAATTCAAATACCACAAGGACTATTGATGTGGTTTTCCTAAATAGTGAGGTATCATGCTACTAATTGGAGTCTCCATAATTTACTAAGAAATTGCATTTCTAGAAAAGTCAGTGTATATATACAAAAACAGTACATATAACTTATGTTTACAAATAAAACAGATTCAGATTCTAGGTTAAGATGGCAACAGATAGCTTTTCCTTTGTATGAATGTTCAGTGAGTCATTTGAAAGGTTTTCGATTTCCTCATACTTTGTAGGCCACCTAGTATCCCTGGTACCATCTCATTCAGGGTTAACCATGCCCCTAAAGAGCTTTGTCAGAACTAAATAATATAGCCACACATTTATAAAATACCCTAAGAGTCATACTGCCTCCCATGAGAGGAGGCTTGTGGGTAATAGGCATTGTTTTTCGCCATTAAAGGGCTTTCTGCCAAAATTTTGGTAATTGAGATGAAATATTTCTTCTGAGCTCATTTGTCACTGAAGTATGATGTCCTGATAGATTTCATCTTCTGTTTCTCTGCATGGATGGATGATAGTTATCATCTTCCATCATATGCTTCTCCTTTGTGGGAAAAAATGATGACATTTGTAAACTAAGCCACTATTGTTTTTTTCTACAGACCAAATATGTTTTTCCTTGCCCTTTATTTTCTAGGAGTCATGCAAGCCCAAGTGGGAATGCAAGGAGGTGGACCAGTGCCCATGGAAAGAGGACAAGGTTAAATATTAAATATCTGTTGTATATATACTGAACATGGAAATGTTCTATATCTGCACTGTCTAATGTTCAGCCACTAACCACCAGTGGCAATTTAAAGATTAAGTTAATTAAAATCAAGTTTAAATTAAGTAACACCTAACGGTCTTATTTCCTGGGAACAATAATTGCATTTCAAGTGTTCAGTAGCCAAGTACTTAGTAGCCACACGTGCTAATGAAGACCAGACTGGACATTGCAGATGTAGAATGTTTCAATGGTCAACAAAACTTCTCTTGGTTCAGACTTTCCATAGGGGATATTCAGAGCTTAGCTCTACAGGAATTGGTGATACAGCATATGCATCCTTTGTTTCCTGACAGTCTGACAGATCCACTGGCATGTTCTCAATCTGTGAGTAGCTGTTGACTTTGTAAGAAGATTTACTAGTGAGAATATAGTATGTGACCAGGACTGTAGATGTCAAGATATAATCACTGTAGAAAACTGGGAGCAAAGCAGAGGTCTATAAAGCATAGTTGCAGTGTTTCCTGCACTGTGGCAAAAACACTGTATATATAAGAGCAGCAGCCCTTCCAGAATCTTTGCATTCTTTCCTCATATTATTGGAGTCTGAAGGAAGAGAAAGTATAGTAGTTCAGTTCAAAACAACAGACAATAGAAAAAAGGAAACTGAATATATACTGTAAATACTCAGTCACTTCGTTTCCGTGGACAACCTTGTTAAGGTAGGTGGCAGTGCCTCAGTTTTACAGGTAAAGAAATGGAAGCACAGGAGTTTTCTCAATGGGCTACGGTAAGTACATACTCATACCTCTGAGAATGATCTGGTGTTCTCTTTTGACTTAAAAATTAAAATCCTTAAATCCAAAATCTGCCCTTACCAGGTGGTGGTGACATACCCAGCACTCTGGAGAAGGCAGATCTATGTGAGTTCAAGGCCAGCCAGTTCTACAAAGCGAGTTTCAAGACACCCAGGGCTGTTAGACAGAGAAATCCTGTCTTGGAAAGCCAAAAAAACGTAATAACAAAATTTGCCCTCTTCCCATCATTCTATACTGCCAGTGTTAATTTCAGAATTAATTTTCAAAATACTATGCTTACTCAAAAGGTTCCTCCTGTGATGGGAATAGATTGCTTTGAACAAGAACAGAGGGATTTAATATTTTTCTTTTTAGTGAATTTCTTAGAAGAGAAACCTACTTCAAAAGCAAAATATTAAGATATATAGGGCATGGTTTATACAGAGTCATTGGTGATTGAAATGAAGAGTCTACACATGTCTCATCAGATAAATGGCAACAAGACAAACTTCTGCCAAATAGCTCCTCTTCCCTCTAAAACATTCCATGCTTCTGTGCTGCTGTGTACTTCCATCCTATTGCTGTCAGTATGTGCTGTATCTAACCCAAAGTACCTTTGCAGTAGTGAAAAGGGCTTAGGCTTCCATTAAATCTCTCCCTCTTCCTAGGCTATTAGTCTCAGTGAATCCCTTAGCCGCTTAACACATATTTCTATGAGACATCTTCCTACTGTAATTTAACCCCATCTTTCTGGAAAGAATTAACAAAAGGAATTGACTTGCATTTTGAAACTATTTCAAGGATCTATTGATACAAAGATTAAAATGAAATGAGATTAAAAAATAATTTCCTTCAGTACCTAGTATAGGAAACAATGTTTTCATTTGTGACCAAATTTGTCTTCCTGTGCCTGGAATCCTTGTTCATTTGTGCATTTGTAATGGTGACAAGAGATGTTTGAGATGGTGCTTCTTGCTTTCCCGCCTCCTTTGTTTAATGTTGATGACTGTGTTGGCTCATTAATCTTTGTCATGTTTTTTATAATCATAGACTTTATGTAGTAGGCTGTTTCATTCGTAACTCTCTTTCATGGAAAGTTCATCAGCTGCATTGACCCATTTAATATTTTTTGACAGAAATGTTTGACTTTTTTCATTTTTACAACATCATTTTATTATACCCTTCACATTTTTGGTTTTTTTTTTAGGTGAGTAAATACATTTTTTAAGCATGTGAAGAAATTAAAAAGCCACTCTCACAAGCACGAACAATTCTTTTTTTCTTTTCCCCCTTTTTTTAATGATTTTTTATTGAGCTCTACATTTTTCTCTCCTACTCTCCCTGCCTCTCCCCTCGCCCCTTCAATCCTTCCCCAAGGTCCCCATGCTCCCAATTTACTCAGGAGATCTTGTCTTTACTTCCTACTTCCCATGTAGAATAAGTCTTATGTAAGTCTCTCTTAGTGTCCTCATGGTTGTCTAAATTCTCTGTGGGACTGGGGTTTGTAGGCTGGCTTTCTTTGCTTTATGTTTAAAAACCACATGTGATAACTTGTCTTTCTGTGTCTGGGTTACCTCACTCAATAATGCTTTCTAGCTACATACGTTTGCCAGCAAAATTCAAGCTGTTGTCATTTTTTCTGCTGTGTAGTACTCCATTGTGCAAATGTACCACATGTTCCTTACCCATTCTTCGGTCGAGGGGCATTTGTGGCTTGATTGAGCATTCTTTGGATATATACCCAAAAGTGGTATTACTGGATCTTGAGGAAGGTTGTTTCCTAATTTTCTGGGAAATTGCAACACTGACATCCAAAGGGTTGTACCAGCTTGCATTCCCACCAGCAATGCAGACGTGTTCCCTTTTCCACACATCCTCTCCAGCATAAGTTGTCATCGGTGTTTTTGATCTTGGCCATTCTTACAGGTGTAAGATGGAATCTCAGAGTTATTTTGATTTGTATTTCTCTGATGACGAGGGATGTTGAACATTTCCTTATGTGCCCTTCAGCCATTTTAGATTCCTCTGTTGAGAGTTCTCTGTTTATGTCTATAGTCCATTTTTTATTGGATTATGTGTTCTTTTGATGACCAATTTCTTGAGTTCTTTGTATATTTTGGAGATCAGACCTCTGATGTGAGGTTAGTGAAGATTTTTCCCTATTCTCTAGGCTGTCGTTTTGTCTTATTGACCATGTCCTTTGCTTACAGAAGCTTTTCAGTTTCAGGTCCCATTTATTAATTGTTTCTCTCAGTGTCTGTGCTGCTGGGGTTATATTTAGGAGGTAGTCTCCAGTGCCAATGCGTTCAAGTGTATTTCCCACTTTCTCTTCTATAAGGTTCAGTGTGGCTGGCTTTATGTTGAGGTCTAAGGTCCATTTGGATTTGAGTTTTGTACATGGTGATAGATATTGGTCTATTTTCATTCTTCTACATGTTGATATCCAGTTATGCAAGCACCACTTGTTAAATATGCTTTCTTTTTTCCATTTGATGTTTTTTGCTTCTTTGTCAAAAATCAGGTGTTCGAAGATGTGTGGATTGATATCCGGGTCTTCTGTTCAGTTCCATTGGTCCTCCTGTCTGTTCTTATGCCAATACCAGGCTGTTTTCAGTACTGTAGCTCCATAGTAGAGTTTGAAGTCAGGGATTGTGATGCCTTCAGAAGTTCTTTTATTGTACAGGATTGTTTTGGCTATCCTGGGTTTTTGACTTTTCCATATGAAGTTGAATACTGTTCTTTCATGGTCTTTGAAGAATTTTTCTGGGATTTTGATGAGCATAGCATTGAATCTGTAGTTTGCTTTTGGTAAGATTGCCATTTTTAGTATGTTAATTCTGCCTACCCAAGAGCATGCGAGATCTTTCCACTTTATGGTGTCTCCTTCAATTTCTTTCTTTAAACATTTAATGTTCTTGTCATACAAGTCTTCCACTTATTTGGTTAGTTACTCCGAGATATTGTATGCTATTTGTGGCTATTGTGAGGGGTGTTGGTTCTCTGAGTTCTTCACCCAGCCCTTTTATCATGTGTGTACAAGAGGGCTACTAATGTTTTTGAGTTAATCTTGTATCCTACTACATTGCTGAAAGTGTTTATGAGTTGTAGAAGTTCCTTGGTAGACTTTTTGGGGTCGCTTATGTAAACTCTCATATCATCAGCTAACAGTGAGAGTTTGACTTCTTTTCCAATTTGTATCCACTTGATCTCCTTTTGGTGTCTTATTGCCCTAGCTAAGACCTCAAAATATATTGAATAGATATAGCGAGTGGACAACCTTGTCTTGTTCCTGATTTCAGTGAATTGCTAGGAGTTTCTCTCCATTTAGTTTGATGTTGGCTTGCTGTATATTGACTTTACTATCTTTAGGTATGTTCCTTGTATTCCTGCTCTCTCCAAGACCTTTATCATGAAGGGATGTTGTATTTTGTTGAAAGCTTTTTCGGCATCTAATGAGATGATCATGTGGTTTTTATTTTTCAGTTTGTTTATATGGTGGATTATGTTGACAGATTTTCATATGTTGAACCATCCCTGCATCTCTGGGATGAAGCTGATTTGATCATGATGGATGATGGTTCTGATGTGTTCTTAGACTCAATTTGTCAGTATTTTATTTATTATTTTTGCATCAATGTTCATGAGTGAGATTGGTCTGTAATTCTCTTTCTTAGTAATGTCTTTCTGTGGTTTGGGTGTCAGGGTGATTGTAGCCTCAAAAAAAAAGGAGTTTGGCAATGTTCCTTCTGTTTCTATTGTGTGGAATAATTTGAGGAGTATTAGTATTAGTTCTTTGAAAGTCTTGTAGAATTCTGAGCTGAACCCATCTATCTGGTCCTGGGCTTTTTTTTTTTTGGTTGGGAGACTTTTGATGACTGTTTCTATTTCTTCAGCCAGTTATAGGTCTGTTTAATTTGCTTATCTAGTCTTGATTTAATTTTGGTAAGTGATATTTATCCAGAAAGTTGTCCTTTCCTTTAAGTTTTCCAATTTTGTGGAGTACAGGTTTTTGAAATATGACCTGATGATTCTCTGGATTTCTGTGCCTGTTGCTATGTCCCCCTTTTCATTTCTGATTTTGTTAATTTGGATATTCTCGTTCTGCCTTTTGGTTAGTTTGGATAAAGGTTTGTCTATTTTGTTGATTTTTCTGGGAGAACCAACTCTTTGTCTCACTGATTCGTTGTATTGTTTTCTTTGTTTCTACTTTGTTTTCAGTTTTCACTTTATTTCCTTCAGTCTATTTCTCTTAGGTGAGTTTGCTTCTCTTTGTTCTAAAGTTTTCATATGTTCTGTTAATTTACCAGTGTGGGATTTTTCCAGCTTCTTTATGTAGGTGTTTAGTGCTATGAACTTTCCTCTTAACACTGCTTTCATTGTGTCCCATAAATTTGGGTATGTTGTGTGGTCATTTTCATTGAATTTTAGGAAGTCTTTAATTTCTCCCTTTATTTCTTCCTTGACCCATTGATGATTCAGGTGAGCATTTTTTAATTTCCATGTGTTTGTAGGCTTTCTGGAACTAGTATTGCTGTTGACTTCTAGTTTTATACCATGATGTTCTGATAAGGTACATTGGGTTATTCCAATTTTTTTGTATTTGTTGAGCTTTGTTTTGTTACCGAGTATGTGGTCAATTTTTGAGAAGGTTCCATGAGGTGCTGAGAAGAAGGTATATTCTTTTCTGTTTGGATGGAATATTCTATAGATGTCTGTTAAGTCCATTTGAGTCATAACATCTGTTAGTTTCCTTATTTCTCTGTTCATTTTTTGTCTGATTGACCTATCCAGTGGTGAGAGGGGGAGTGTTGAAGTGTGTGTGGTTTAATGTATGATTTAAGCTTTAGAAGTATTTCTTTGACATATGAGGGTGCCCTTGTATTTGGGGCATAGATGTTCAGTATTGAGATTTCCTCTTGATGGATGTTTCCTTTTACTAATATAAAATGATATTCCTTGTCTCCTTTCACTGATTTAAGCTTGAAGTCTATTTTGTTAGATATTAGGATACCTATACCCACTTGTTTCTTAGATCCATTGGTTTATTTTTTTCCAACCCTTTACTCTGAAACGATGTCTGTCTTTGAGGTTGAGATGTGTTTCTTGTATGCAGAAGAAGGATGGATTCTGTTTTCGTATCCAATCTGTTAGCCTGTGCCTTTTTATAGGTGAATTGAGTCCATTTATATTAAGGGATATTAATCACCAGTGATTTCTATCTTCTGTTAATGTAGTTTTCATTGTTGATGATTTTAATTAATGCATTTTTCCCTTCTTTGGGATTTGCTGCTTTGAGACATCAATTGTCTGTGTTTTGCAGCCATCTTACTTGGGTTGGAGTTTTCTTTCTAGTATTTTGTGTAGGGCTGGGTTTGTGGCTAGGTATTGGTGAAATCTAAATTTGTCATGGAATATCTTGTTTTGACCTTCTATGGTGATTGACAGTTTTGCTGGGTATAGTAGTCTGGGCTGGCACCCATGGTCTCTTAATGTCTGCATAACCCTTGACCACGACTTTCTGGATTTCATTGTTTCCAATGAGAAGTCGGGTGTAATTCTGATAGGTTTACCTTTATATGTTACTTGTCCTTTTTACTTTGCAGCTTTTAATATTCTTTTTTTTACTCTGTATGTTTAGTGTTTTGATTATTATGTGGCAAGAGGACTTTTTATTTGGATCCAGTCTATTTGGTGTTCTGTAATCTTCTTGTATTTTCATAGATATATCTCTCCTTAGGTTGGAAAAGTTTTCTTCTAGGATTTTGTTAAATTTATTTTCTGTGCCTTTGAGTTGAACTTCTATACCTATTAGATTTGGCCTTTTCATGGTGTCCCATAGTTCCTGGATATTTTGGGTTAAGCTCTTGTTAGATTTAATGTTTTCTTTAACTGATGAGTCTATTTCCTCTATTGTATCTTCAGCGCTTGCGATTCTCTCTTCCATTTCTTGTATTCTGTTCATGCTTGCATTTGTGGTTCCTGATTGTTTTCTCATGCTTTCTGTTTCTATAATTCCCTCGGTTTGTGTTTTCTTTATTGCCTCTATTTCGGTTTTCAAGTCCTGAATAGTTTCTTTCATATGTTTGATTTCTTTTTCTTGGTTTTCTTTAAGTGATTTGCTGACATCTTCCAATTTTTGTTTATCTTTTCCTCCATTTCTTTAAGGGAATTTCTCATTTCTTCTTTTAGAGATTCAAACATTCTCTTGAAGTTATTTTTTAGATCATTTTCTTCTTCATCCATATTTGGTTGTTCAGGTATTGCTGTTGTAGGGTCTTTAGGTTTTACTGGTGTTGTGTTTTTCTTTGCTATGTCGCGTATGTTCTTACCTTTTCTACTCATCTTTTTGCTAATAGGTGTGGTTGGGTCTGTCTGAGATTCTGTTGTATAATCTAGGTTCCAGTGAATCCAAAGCTCAGGTGGTTGTTCCTTGTGATATAGTCGGTGTCACAGTTCTAGTTACCCTGCTGGTTACTCTACTCTTGGAGACAGCTCGGCGCTCCTGTGCTTTGTTCTGCTCCCTTAGAGTTTGCTGTCTCAGGCCTACTTTGACCTAGGTTGCTGGCTTTGCCCTGTTTTTGTTAATTCTGGTCTGGAACCCCTCGTGCAGAAGTCCCTGGGTTGCAGTTGGACCTGGAAAGGTTTCTGGCTCCAATCTACTGCCTTGGAGGTCCCAGGCTTTGGTACATCTGGAATCACAGAGGACCTGCTTACTCCCTCAGAGGTCCCAGACTCACGCTAGGACCCACAGAGGTCCTGGCTCAGGCCTACTCTCTTCAAGTACCCAGACTCACGCCTGGCCCCGCCGAGATCTCTGGTTCCAGCATATTTCCTCAGAGGTCCCAGGTTCACTCACGCCCAGACTGGCAGAGGTCATGGCTCAGGCCTAGTTCCTAGGAGGACCTAGACTCACGCCCAGATCCACCAGGGTCCTGGTTTAGGTCTACTCCCTTGAAGGTTGCAGATTCACGTCGGGACCCTACGTGGTCTCTGGCTCTGGCTCACTCACTCAGCTGTTACTCCCCTGTACCTGTTCTGGTGGAGATAGCTGATTCTGGATCTGGTTGCTGGCTCAGTCTTGGTCTGCCAATGTCCTGGGACTGGGTTGGCTCCCAGGACTGAATTTGCTCCTGGCTTCTGCTCCTGGTGAAGCTTGTTGCTCTCTGTCCTAGGTAGCTCATTCAGAGCCACTCCTGTGGAATTTGTTGCCCAAGGTGGAGTTCCTTGCCTCAGAGCAAAGATGGCCTAGGTTACCAGATTTGACCTGTATCTGTAAGTCCTGGTTTGAATTTCCTGCTGCAGGAGTCCCTGGGTTGGAGCTGGATGTGGAAAGGTTTCTGGCTCCTGTCTACTGCTTCAGGTGCACCTGGACCTAAAGAGGACCTGCTTACTCCTTCAGAGGTCCCAGACTCACGCTAGGACCCAGGTTCCTATTCCCTTTGATGTCCACAGAAGTCCTGGCTCAGCCCTACTCTCTCTGAGTACCCAGACTCATGCCTGTCCCCGCCAAGATCTCTGGTTCCTGCCTGTTCCCTTGGAGGTCCCAGGTTCACTTACGCCCAGAGTGGCAGAGGTCATGGCTCAGGCCTAGTTCCTGGGAGGTCCTAGACTCATGCCCAGACCCACCGGGGTCCTGGCTTTGGTCTACTCCCTTGAACGTCCCAGATTCACGTCCGGACCCTCAGCAGTCTCTGGCTCTAGCTTACTAGCTCAGCGCTTACTCCCCTGTACCTGTTCCAGTGGAGATTGCTGAGTTTGGGTCAGATTACATGCTCAGTCCTGATCCGCCAGTGTCCCAGGACTGGATTTGCTCCCGGTGGAGCTTCTAACTTTTAAATGAGACAAAATTAGTATTGCCATTAGTGTGGGTCCATTAATGGCCTATCTCTGATAAATCTCATGTCACATTCCATTTGGAATTTATTTCATGTTTTATTTCTGAAAATACATTTTTCTCTATTTCTTTTTTTAATGCACAAGAAGACATAAAGGAAAATTCTGTAGTAACAGAAAGGAGAGTCCAAAATTGCTGGTTATTCTTGCCCAAGTAAACCAGTACACAGTTTCCCTTAAGAAAGATGCCTGTCAAAGTGGAACTGTTGGATAAGAGAAAGGCCTCCTGTATTTAGGAAGTTTTGTAGGCCGGGGCAAACTAACGAACTCTCGGCTTTTACTGACATGTAAGTCTCCATTCTCCATATGTGTATGTTCCTGTGTGTGTGCAAGCTATTTTAAGTGTCTGCTATTTCTCCTTTTGAACTTACTGCTCACCTAGGAACCCTACAGCACTCGCCCGTGGGACCCACCGGGCCTGCATCAATTGAGCGAGTTCAAGGTATCCATTGTATCTGCGGGTTTCCTTTTGCTTGCGGTATTCAGGGTGGGATGTTGAAAGGAAAGGAGCTGCTTGGCAGTCATCCTCACATTCATAACCCCAAAAGGGTAGTGTTTTGGGGTATTTTTTCTTTTTGTTAGTTTTGTGGCTTTTTTTTCTCTTGGGGCCACAAGCCTAAGATTGACCTTTTCACACAGGGCAGAGAACATGGATGATATGGGCATCTGTCCAAAGATCTACTCTCTCCCTACTGGTGTCAGGAGGCTTGGCTGGAATAGTAGTCTGTAAGGAGACTGCAGGTTCCTGCAGAGCCATGGCAGGGTTCCTATGCCAAGAACTTACCTTTCTTTTGTGACTCTGGTTCTTAACCTAAGATTGATTAGAAGGAAAACCAAGATCATAAGTTTATTCAGGTTACAGTGCTAGTCCTTGGCAGGTGGCTCCCCAGTTTGTTCTTTATATAATTCCATCCATACCTCTAAAATGGCACTGTTTCTGCCCTTGAGCTGCAAGAGGATTCTGCTGTGGTGAGGTTTCACCCACTCTAAGGTGTCTGAATTATGTTGTCAGTGCTATAGTCATTTCTTGTTTCCTAATGTGTCTTTCACAGCAGTAACTCCCTGTTTGTTTCCCTGCCAGTGCCAATGCAAGACCCCAGAGCAGCTATGCAGCGGGGAGCCTTGCCTGCCAATGTCCCAACTCCTCGTGGTCTGTTAGGAGATGCCCCCAATGACCCACGGGGAGGCACTTTAATGTCTGTAACTGGAGAGGTAGAGCCTAGGTAAGTACTCATGTAGAAGGAAACACCCTGAGAAGTTGAAAAGTTTCCTTACATTGAAAGCAAATGGTCGGACCTGTTTGCCTACTTTAAAAGATAAATAAGATTTGTAACCACTGTCTAAAACTAAGCACTTTTCCGAAAACATAATCGTATAGCTAAGAAGGTAATTTTGAAGCTGGGCGGTGGTGGCGCATGCCTTTAATTGCAGCACTCAGGAGGCAGAGACAGGCAGATCTCTGTGAGTTTGAGGACAGCTTGGTCTACAAGAACGAGTTCCAGGACAGGCTCCAAAGCTACAAAAACCCTCTTAAAAAAAGAAAAAGAAGATAACTTGGAGCCAACAATGACTGTTGTATTTTCAGAAATTGAAAATTATAGTAATATATACCTAAACAAGGAAAACGTGAGGTAATGGTACTATTAATGACAGTAGTTGTTGATGTTGGTGGGGATCACACCTCTAGCTTTTCTCTAAGTACTTAAATCACCTCATTATATCTGCCTTAGGCCGGGGGTGTAACTCCCATGGTAAGAGCACTTGCCTAACATTTCCAATGCCCTAGTTCAATCCTCAGCCCCACAAAGATAGAGAGACAAATAAATCCATTTAACCTTAGAAATGACTATTCTTAGTCCTATTTTACAGGTAAAGAAACCAGGGCATATAGTGGTTAAGGTAGTGACCACATAGCTAATAAATGGTAAGACCTAGATTTCAGCCATTTATTCTGAATCCAGAATCTGCATTGCTAAGCAGTCTACTGCATATTCATTGTACTTATAGTGTCTATTAATTCTTTACTAATTTTAAATGCCCTGATCAAATAAATTCCAGAATGCATAGATTTACATTCTATAGATTTCTTTTGTCTGTGTGATGTTACTTTTTTTTTGTTTTGTTTTGTTTTTTGAGACAGGGTTTCTCTGTAGCCTTGGTGCCTGTCCTGGAACTAGCTCTTGTAGACCAGGCTGGCCTCGAACTCCCAGAGATCCGCCTGCCTCTGCCTCCCGAGTGCTGGGATTAAAGGCGTGCACCACCACTGCCCAGTGTGATGTTACTTTGTTACCATTTATTTACTGATATTTGTATTAGTTTTCTGTTGGATGTTTGTATACTGATCGGATTGACATTTCAATGTTGGTACGTTCTGCTTTAAAATATGTCACTTCTCTCCATCTCTAGAGCTTACTTGGGACCCCCACTACCACCTCATCAGGGCCCACCCATGCACCATGTTCCTGGCCATGAAGGTCGTGGACCACCCCCACATGACATGAGGGGAGGTCCATTAGCTGAGCCCAGACCTTTAATGGCAGAGCCAAGAGGACCCATGATAGATCAGAGGGGTCCACCCATGGATGCTAGAGGTAAGGGGAAACTGCATCACAACTCCAGCTAATAGCCATGGTTGGTGAAGAATTTGACTCTCTTCAGCTCTAATATGGGACAGAAGTCTTGGGAAAGAGTTTTTACGATTTACCTACAAATCTGATAAACTGGAAAGGAGACAGTGTCACAGACAAGGAGAGATGTGACTAGAAGTTAGTAGCTATACTAACTGGTTTTCTTACAACTTTCTAGGTGGAAGAGATCCCCGAGGATTAGATGCACGAGGGTTGGAGGCCAGAGGACTGGATGCCAGGGGACTGGAGGCCCGTGCCATGGAGGCCCGTGCCATGGAAGCCCGTGCCATGGAGGCCCGTGCCATGGAAGCCCGTGCCATGGAAGCCCGTGCCATGGAGGCCAGAGGCATGGATACCAGAGGCCCGGTACCTGGACCTAGAGGACCTATACCTAGTGGAATCCAAGGTCCCAATCCAATGAACATGGGGGCTGTCGTTCCCCAGGGATCAAGACAGGTAATACTTATAGTATCTACATAAAATCTTAATGTATTTGGGGATTTGTTACTGAGCCTGATATTTGTTGTCTTCTGACTTGAATGAATTTGCTTGTTAGAAAGGAGAGAATAGGCTCTCCTTTTACTTTCTCATATCCCTTAGGAGAAGGGTGACTAGCCTCTAATACTTAACCCAAAAGAACAACCTTGCTTCACTATTTCAGAAAAACCTCTGAAAATGAAAATGTACAGGGCAGGGAGTACTTTGCACTAAGTATATAAACCATCAATGTGTACAAAGTCCCCCCACCAAATACTTGTGCAGATCTTAGGCCATTTGAAAAACCTCCCCCAAATGATTACCATGTACAACCTGAACTAGAGCATTTGAGGAGTTGCATTCATTTAGATTATCTCGGGGTGGCAGAGACCTGTGTGGATCTATTATCATGAAAGCATCTAAATAAACAGTGGTATAGGAAAGGCCATCTGCATATAATTCTGGAACTGCACAGTCTGTCGCTTTTCTGTCTCCTTCACTTGGCTCACTTCAGCTGTATGTATGGGATGCTTTATAAGTCACCTCATTTTTATCATCTCCAGTTAGTTGTGGGAAGATGGAATGTGTGTATCTTCTCAAGTTTCTATATGTTGGTGCCTTCATTTTTCATTTCTTTCTTCCCATTTTCATGTGCTTCTGTGTCTTCCAGTGTATTTGGGGATTGGGAGAGAAAGAAGAGAGGAAAATATCAAAACTAGAATGCAACATGTCTGGCATCTAGTTCTCTGATTTTATAGGTTTGGAAGGTGAAGGCCAGAAGTTGCAGAATGAGCAGGCTGCTTGTTCATCCCGACCACCCAGCTAGCTTAGTCCCAAAATAACGACACAGAAATTGTATTAATTAAATCACTGCTTGGTTCATTAGTTCTAGCCTCTTATTGGCTAACTCTCACATCTTGATTTAACCCATTTCTATTCATCTGTATATCGCCACATGTCAGTGGCTTACCGGCAAGATTCTAACCTGTGTCCATCTCAGGCAGAGGATCCTTGGCATCTCTCTGACTCTGCTTTCTTCCTCCCAGCATTCCGTTTAATTTTCCCCGCCTACCTAAGTCTGGTGACTTGGCCAAATTCACCTAACTAAAAAAATAACGGAGCAAGAAATACAGCTTGTTCATCTATTCTGCTTCTCTGTCCTATTTGCATCTATATATTGTCTCTGTGTGTGGGTGTTTGCCTGATTCTCCCTAATTTGAGATAAAAATGTGGCTTTTTTTGGTATATATAGAATAAAAATTTATTTTATTTTGTAGTTCAGGTTTTGCTTTTAAAAATGTGTTTGTGAAAAAAAAATAAAAATGTGTTTGTGGGCTTTGATTTTTGTTGCATGCTCTATGGTCAATAGCCTCAACACATTTTTATACATCTTTTCAATACCCCTGAGCTATACCCCCAGCCCAATATAGTTTTTATTAAAAGTCTATAAAGTCAGTTAAATCCAAGGTAGAGAAAATAAGAACTTAAAATTGATACTTTTTACATTTTAGCAATATAGTCAATAATTATATAATAATACATCCCAGCCATCTATAAAAGTGTTATGTTAGGAACCTCAACTTCCTCTTCTGTATCTTTCACTTGTGATAGACAATTGCCTTTATTAGATTGATTTTTTTGAGACAAAGTCTTTTCATGTAGCCCTGGCTGACCTGAAACTCACTATATATACTGGGCTGGCCTTGAACTCACTGAGATTTGCCTGCCCTTGTCTCAGGAGTGATGGACTTGAAGGCATGCACCACCATATTTTGCTTATCTGATATTTTTAGTGTAGCTTTCTACTGTTATCCTTTTTATGATCTTTGTTTTTTTAACTTAATATGGCCTTCATATCCCTTTAAATTAGATTTTAAATTTAACTCCAGTCCACACAGTTAGAAGCATGTAGCTAAGAGGCTTGTTGTTATAGGGTGGTTATATAATTTGTCATACAAAGAAGAAAACATTCAAGAATGAAAGTGTTAATAATTTACCCTGAGGGGAAAAAAAACATAAACTGGGATTGTCTTAGGCCAACCAAGGTATTTGACCAGTCTTACTAGTATTTATCTGCCTAGTACAGATATTCCTAGAAACTTCAACTGGCCATTTGGGGTAGTTATTTCATACTGCAGTGTCTCAGATTGGTATAAATCAGTATTAGTAAATTCCTAAGTGACTGTACCCAGAGGTTGTTCATATCCATAATTATTAAGGTTTATGCAAGTCCCTGAACTAAGTATTAATATAGATAGCATCCTTTATGTGCCATTGCTTCATGTCCCCAGTGTCTGAGAAAAGAGCTGATGCATGAGAGTAAGTATTTCAGATGTCTTAGTTACTGTTGCTGTGAAGAAACACAATGAAAATGGCAACTCTTTTTATTTAAATAACATTTTTTTCATTTATTTTACATCCCAACCAGTTCCCCTTCCTCCTTTTGTCCTGTCCCCCTTTCCCATCTACCCTCCCTATGCAGTCCTCCATCTCCATTCAGAAAGGGACAGGGGACAATGGCAACTCTTACAAGAGATAGCATTTAATTGAGGGCTTGCTTACAGTTTCAGAGTTTTAGTTCCATTATCATGGTGGGAAGCATGACAACATGTAGAAAGAGCTGCAGGCAGGCCTGCTTTTCGTCCCGCCCAGCTCCCACATGGCTAGCTTTACACCCAAAATAACAACACACAAACTGTATTCATTTAAACACTGCCTGGCCCATTATATCTAGCCTTTTACTGGCTAACTCTCATATCTTGATTAAACCATTTCTATTGTGTGTAGCACCACGAGGTGGTGTCTTACCAGGAAGATTCTAACCTATGTTCATCTTGCGCTGGAGCTTCATCACATCTGCCTCACTGCTTTCTTCCTCCCAGCATTCTGTTCTGTCTTCCCCATCTACCTATGTTCTGACCTATCAGGCCAAGCAGTTTTCTTTATTAATTAACCAATGAAAGAAACAGATAGATAGAAGACCCACCTACATCAACAGCAGGCATGGCATGCATGGTGCTGGAGAAGTAGATGAGAGCTACATCCTGATCTATAAGCAGAAAGGGAGATACTGGGCTTGGCATGGGTGTTTGAAACCCCCAAAGCCTATCTCCCAATGACCTGCTTCCTAAACCTTTGAAATAGTGCAACTCCCTGGTAAATAAGCATTCAACCATGTGAGTCTGTGGGGGCCATTTTTACTCATACCACCACATTTGACTCCCTGGCTCTGATTGACTTATAGCTATATCATAACACAAAAATGCATTCTACCACCACCTGGCTTCAACTTCAAAAGTCACCATATTCCATCACAGTCTCAATACTGTCCAAAAGTTCAAAGTCTCATCTGAGACTCATGACAATCTCTTAACTATAAACCCATAAAATAAAAATAAAAAGGTCAGTCACACAGTTCCAACATACACTGACACATTACCATTTCAAAAAGAAGGAAAGGAAGCATTGTAAGAATTAAATCCGGACTAGCTGAACATAGCGGCAATGAGGACTACTGAGAACTCAAGAACAATGGCAGTGGGTTTTTGATCCTACTGCACGTACTGGCTTTGGGGGAGCCTAGGCAGTTTGGATGCTCACCTTACTAGACCTGGATAGAGGTGGGCGGTCCTTGGGCTTACCACAGGTCAGGAAACCCTGACTGCTCTTCTAGCGGATGAGGGAGGGGACTTGATGGGGGAGGGGGAGGGAAATGGGAGGCGGGTGCAGGGAGGAGGCAGAAATCCTAAATAAATAAATAAATAGAAAATACTGGACCAAAGCAAGACTGAAAATCAGCTGGGCAAACTCCAAACTCTGGATCTTCATGTCTGATGTCAAAATGCTCTTCAGATCTCCAACTCCTTTCCACTTTGTTGACTGCAGCACATTTCTCTCTTGGGCTGGATCCACACCCAATCTGCAACTTTTCTTGGCAGATATCCCATGACTCTGGCATCTCTAACATCTTAGGAGTCTCCAGTGAAATCTAGGCTTTACTTTCACAGTTTCACACAATGGCCTCTCTATGTCACCATACAAGGACACCTTAACACATGCCTGGCCTCAGCAGCTTTACTTAGCCTCAGAGGGATATTCCACGACCCCATTTTTGTATCATTGACTCTAAAGCCAGAACTCCTTTTGGGCTAGGTGCCAAGTAGTACTGCTTGATGGGGTGGCTTGAATTAGGCCTCCTTGTTCATAATAGACATTTGCATCAGCCTTTGATGTTGATGGCTTCCTTTACTGCTTAAGATTTTCTTCTTTTTCACTAATTGAAGGTTAGATGGGTGGGGTCTTGCTCTGAGGTCACACCACTCCTTTTATTCCATTTAGCATCAGGCTTTTCTTAAACTTTTTATCTCCTTGAGCACTGAAATTTTGTTCTGTTGCACTTCCTGGTCCTGCTTTTCTCCTCAAACTGTACATTTTATATTTTTCCTTGCTCAGCTTTTTCCTTTTCTTTATATATCTGAATAAGAGGGGCCACAAGACATAGTCAATATTTGGCAGTCTTGAAATCTCTGCTAGTGCCATTAATCTAAAACTGTTCAATTTGGCCTCAGGCATATTTTTAACACTCAGGCAAAAACAGCTACATTCTTTGCCAAAATGTCGCAATGGTCCCTAGGCCACTTACTAATATCATTCCCATCTGAAACTTCTTGAGCTGGGTTCAAATCACCCTTAGCACTATTGTCACTGTTCTGCTAAGATAGCCCATTGAGCCCTACTTAAAGCATTCAACCTCTTTTCTTCCCTTCTTCCCTTCCTCCCTTCCTTTCTTTCTTTTCTTTTTCCTTTTTTTGGGGGGAGGGGTGGGTTTTTTTTGGGGGGGGGTTTCGAGACAAGGTTTCTCTGTAGCTTTGGAACCTGTCCTGGAACTAGCTCTTGTTGACCAGCCTGGCCTCAAACTCAGAGATCTGCCTGCCTCTGCCTCTCAAGTGCTGGAATTAAAGGTGTGCGCCACCACCGCCTGCCCCCCTTTTCCTTTTTTTAAAGATTTATTTATTTTTATTACGAATGCAGTGTTCATAATAAAAATAAATAGATGAATATTTTTATTATGAATAGTGCTCTGCATGTATGCCTGCAAGCCAGAGGAAGTTGCCAGATCTCATTATAGATGGTTGCTGGGAATTGAACTCAAGATCTCTGGAAGGACAGCCAGTGCTCTTAACCACTAAGCCATCTCTCCAGCCCCCAACCCCTTTTCTAGTTCAGAGGCTTCCATATTCCACCAACAAACAGCCTGCTACAGCAATACCCCAGTCCCTGGTACCAAGTTATGTCGTAGTCACTTTTATATTGCTGTGAAGAGACACAATGACCACTCCCCTTAGTTTTTCTTTTGAGCCTGCCCTGGAACTTGCTCTGTAGACAGGCTGACCTCGAACTCACAGAGATTTGCCTGCCTCTGCCTCCAAAGTGCTGGAATTAAAGGAGTTAGCTATCACCACCCAACATGACCACAACAGGTCTTAGCTGGCTTACATTTTGGGAAGTTTAGCCCCATTATTTTCATGGTGGGAAGCATGGCAGTAGACATGCAATGCATGGTGCTGGAGAAGTAGATGAGAGCTACATCCTGATCCAAAAGGCAGAGGGAGATACTGAGTTTAACATGAACTTTTGAAACCTCAAAGCTCCCTACCTGCAGTGATACACTTCCTCCAACAATGCCATACATCTTAATCCTTTCAAATAGTGCCACTCTATGGTGAGTAAGCATTCAAATATATGAGCCTGTGAGGACCGTTCTTATTCAAACCACCATACCAGATGAAAGAACTATTCTAAAAGTTGTTTGAGCTGTTTTAGTGAAAAAGGATCGACTGAATGTATATTTTTCCTCTTTTTTAATTTATTTTTTAATATATGTTATTGTGTTGTCCTTGATGTTTTTATTATTATTATTATTAAAAATTTCCACCTCCTCCCCGCCTCTCTTTTCCCTCCCCCTCCCCCCACTCCCCACCCCCCACACAGTCAGGGTTCCCTGCCCTGTGGGAAGTCCAAGGTCCTCCCACCTCCATCCAGGTCTAGGAAGGTGAGCATCCAAACTGCCTAGGCTCCCACAAAGCCAGTACGTGCAGTAGGATCAGAAACCCACTGCGATTGTTCTTGAGTTCTCAGTAGTCCTCATTGTCCGCCATAGTGACCCTTCACCAGCACAACTCTCTGAATGTATTTTATGCTTCCTATTTTCTTAAGTAAATTGCAAAAATATTTAAATCATTTTTGATTATTCAAAATCGACATGGAAATAGATCTGTTATTATTTATGTTATAACATAGTTTTATCCTGTAGTGTATCTGCCCCTTTTACTGATGGACTATCACCTGGTTCTTCACATTGTTACATCTATTCACATATCATCTATTCCTGACACATGTTTCTGTATATTTCTTCTATACTTCCCTGGTTATAATCTGAGAAAGCAGGTAACAAATTTGTTAAAAATTTATATGCAATAAAAATATCTAATAGTCGAGCAGTGGTCACACACGCCTTTAGTCCCAGCACTGAGGAGGCAGAGGCAGGTGGATCTCTGTGAGTTTGAGGCCAGTCTGGTCTCCAGAGGGAGTTCCAGGACAGGCTCCAAAGCTACAGAAAAACACTGCTTGAAAAAAAAACAAAGGAAGAAGAGGCTTAAAAAAAATTCACACTGCCATTAGTTATCTGAGCATTAAAAGGGATATTCATAGTTTTTGCTTTTAAGAAATCTCTAAAAGGCAAATATTGGGCTAATATTCTCTTTTCCCCAGAGACCTTCCTATCTCCTTTCTGTCTCCATCTGTTTTATTGAATAGAGCCCTTTGAAAATAACTACTAGTGTTTACTTGAAATAGAGGTAGGCAGTAGTCTTGTGAACATCACTTCCCAGAATACAGTTATGTAAAGTCTGCTGACTTCACTTGTGTTTACTCTGATCATTAATTTCTCAAGTGCTCATAGTTTTCCCTATGCTTATTTGGCTAAATTTTGCTAATTTAATGTCCCCTTCCTGCAGTGTGTATTATTTGTTATGATGATGGACCTGTAATATGCAAGAATTTGTATGCTAGTAGGTCTTTGATTAAACACTAACTTCTGATTTTGCTAACAGTATAAGCTGATCTTTAGATCATTAATTCTCTTTACACTCTTACCTGTGTCAAGATTGGTACTGTATTGAGGTTCCATAGACTTCAGGAATTCTGTATGCTGTCTTCTTTCTTTCTACCTATAGGTCCCAGTCATGCAAGGAGCAGGCATTCAAGCAGCAGGCATGCAAGCTGGAAACCAACCTGGTGGCTTTAGTCCTGGACAGAGCCAAGTCACACCCCAGGATCATGAGAAGGTAAGCAACACTGTCTCACTGCCTCCCAGTGCACAAATCTAGTATTTTGATCTTTTCACAGTTACCATGAAGATCCTGGGTCTTCAAAGTCCCTTTGGAAGCGATGTTTACTCTAACTTAGGACTCTAATGATCTTGACTGAGCATTTTGGGGACCTGAACCTTAAGTTTTTTTTTTTTATTTATTATGTATACAATATTCTGTCTGTATGCCTGAAGGCCAGAAGAGGGCGCCAGACCTCTTTACAGATGGTTGTGAGCCACCATGTGGTTGCTGGGAATTGAACTCAGGACCTTTGGAAGAGCAGGCAATGCTCTTAACCACTGAGCCATCTCTCCAGCCCATGAACCTTAAGTTTTTAAGTGAATATAATTGACAACTTATTTTACATTTCAGACTAATTTATAAATGTCAATTGTTTTTATGTGCAAGCCAAACTGACCTAAAATCCAAGCTCCTTTCTGCCTCCCCTTTCTACCGATACTTAAACAAAATAGCAGATTCACCACAAGTATATTTTTCTGTTGTTATACTTGGCTATTGTTGGGAGCTTGTGTCTGATAGGAAGGATTAAACTTGTGAAAAGGGAAACTCAAAACAGTGCTCACAGTTACCATCTTAGTATGCAGGAACTTTGAGTTCCTGGAGCATCTCTTCACACCATCTAATCTTAGGTATTTTCATTTAATCTTGTGCTTCACTGTGTCTTTTCTCACCATTTTCTTTATTTTGGCTTGCAGTGTGGGGGCGGGGAGAAATATCCTCCCTTTTCCCATTTTGCTTCATAGTCTATGACAGTTTTTTTAGACAGAAGCTGGTGGTATATTTTGGGTTTTGTTTTTGTTTTTTGTTTCTGTTTTTTTGGTTTTCTGACACATCATTGAAACTCACAACCTTGCTCTCCTCTGCACAGGCTGCTTTGATTATGCAGGTCCTTCAGCTCACTGCAGACCAGATTGCCATGCTGCCTCCTGAGCAGAGGCAGAGTATCCTAATCTTAAAGGAACAGATACAGAAATCCACTGGGGCACCTTAAAAGGTGAGCTGACTGAATGGTACCTGGGCAGAACTAGGTCCTTCTGTATTTGAAGTGTGTAACTTTAACCTTTAACAATGTAATGTTCTCTGAGGCCCTGATCTTCACTAGGCCGTCTTGACCCTTCAGTAGTCAGCACCTTTGGGTATAGGGTAAGGCTGCAGAACATTTGTTTAGTTGTTGAATTATTTTCAGCCTTTGCTGATGATGAAATTAATATAGGGTTTTATTCCAAACCATTCCTTCAAAATGGAGGAAATACAAAATATTTCAATAAAATGTTACTCTAATGTTTGTTTTGGAATGTGTGTCTCTGTGTCCATGTGTGTCCAGGTCTCATATAGCCCAGTCTAGCCTTGAACTCCTTATGTAGCTGAAGATGACTTTGAACTTCGGTCTTCCTGCTACCACTTTCCATTGTGCTAAGATGACAGGCATGCAGTACGGCACTCTGCTTTTGAGATACTGGAGATCAAACTTGGGATTCATGTATTCAAAGCATGCACTATGCCAGCCGAGCTATGTCCCAGCCCTTGTAATGAATATTTTGATGGTTGACTATTACAAACTGGTCCCTGTCAGCACCAGTTTCTTTACATTTTAAAGAAGAGTGTATAGTACCATTATCTTTCTTGTTCATCCATCATGTAAGAAGAATCTTAAGTGCACTTTCCTCATAAATAACCATATGACCAAACTTGCTATATAAATATTGTTTTGTTTTCAAAACTCCCATCTTTGTATTTCATAAACAATTCCGTTCTCTGAAAGCAGTTTTACTTTCATATTGTCCCAATACCTGTTGGAATGTCTTTGGAATTTTTACATTTTAACCTCACATGTCTTATAATTCTCATACACAGGCTTACATATAACAGTGAACTCATTTATGATAATTAGCAGTCTTACTATACTGTAGTCTGTATTTGTAGTACTTTCAAAACTTTCAAAATGCGAATATGCATCGTATCTACTGAGACTTTAAATGACTGTACCAAAACTGGGAGTGATTGTAGATGGTTGGAAACTAGATTTTTAATATATTGTACTTCACCTTTGTTTCCTTATATCCCAAACATCCTATTTTCTTCATTAAAAATATGGACTATAATCATAGTAATTTACTATTACAAATTATGTCAGAAAAGGCATTCTGTGTGGTTTGAGAAAATTACTGGTTTTAGAGTGTGGGAGATAGCAGTTTTCCTGAAAGTTCTTTCATTGTGTACTCTTAATTGTATCTCATTTGCCTTGAATACTGACCTCAGGGCAAGAATTTACAGGGTTTTTATTTTAACCTTTGAAGCAATCATAGTTTGATAAGAAGTTGGGAAAATAATACAAAGGACCTTGTAGCCTTCACACAGTTTCCCTCGGTGATTGCATCTTATATTTTTACTTTGTAGTACAAAGCCAGGCAGTTGTTCTTAGTATGTTACTGTGAACTAGACTACAAACTGTATTCAGTTTTTACAACTGAGTAATTTATACCAGTGGATGTGAAGCCACAACTAATTTTATGTGAGCAAACTCTATTTATGCATGTTGTGGCTGAAACATTGGCTTTTTGTCCTAAACTTAAGAGTTTTGGTTCCTTTCTCCCATCACAATGTTATTTCTCACTAATTAGAGATAAATATTTCTTGGAGTGGAGAGGTAGCTCAGTTCGTAAAGTGCTTGCTACCCAAACACAAGCATGAGCAGCCAAGTTCAAACCCCAGAATCCACCTGAAAAGTTGGGTGCAGTGGCACACTCTAGTAATCTTATTGGGAGAAGTGGAGACAGGATGATCCTTGGAGCCTGCTGACCAGCCAGCCTAACCTAATCAGTGAGCCCCAGGTCCCAGTGAGACACCCAGTCTCAAGTCCTAGTTAGATGGCTATCCTAAGGATTTACACTTGAGGTTGGTTTGAACTTCTTGCTCATGACTGCACTCATGTGCACACATACGCATATGAGAAAGAGAAAGGAAGGTAGTTGTGAAATAGGGGAGTCTTGCCTGCCTCTACTATATTTGTCAGTTTCTGTAGGCATTTTATGTTGACAAAACATTTGAAAGTAGTATGCCACTGTCATTTAGTGCTTAGAGATCAGAGATGCTCCTGAACATCCCATAATGATGCACAGGGCATCTTTCTCTTTTTGAGAGAGCACTTTGGCTGAAAAATTCCATGTAATGCTAAGGCTGAGAAACCCTGCTACAAAGGACAATGAGGAGACAGGACACAGGCAAACAATGGTGTTTGATCTTCAGCCCCTCCTCCCTTCCCTCAGTCCAATTTTGTTGTTCCATTTTTTATGAGGGTAGCTGTTTTTTTCTTGGGTTTTAGAAAAAAGAAGTTCACTTACAGTGACTTTCTCCAAATTTTTTCTTACAGGTTCTGAAAAATACCTGGCAACAAATCTGGAAATAGTAATTCCTTAACATTGCTGAAATGTTGAAAACATGGTGACTTCTGCATCCTAACCCCTGATGATTCAGTTGGTGCCAGGTGGAGGACTCGCATGACCATTTCTCCAAACGAAAGCAGTTCGTTTTGTTGTCTTAGTTTGTATATTTTCTGTGATGTCAAATAAACTCTGAACACAATCTTAGCATACCGAAAATTGATATATATATATATATATATATATATATATATATATATATATATATATATATAGAGAGAGAGAGAGAGAGAGAGACCCTTTTGCTTTAAAGAAGCTAAACGCAAAGGTAAAAGCTTAGATATGTTTTCTACTCTTACTGCAGCATTGTCCTTTCATCTTATATTGCCATAGCTCTATTCTCACGTTAGCATAAACATTTATTCTTCTTAGTGATACTTGAGTATTTCTTGGAATCAATGTCTTCAGGAATTTTGTTGTGTTTGCTTTTAACGAGGTAATAAGACTTTGCCCTTTGCCGGGTGGTGGTGATGCACGCCTTTAATCCCAGCACTCGGGAGGCAGAGGCAGGAGGATCTCTGTGAGTTCGAGACCAGCCTGGTCTACAAGAGCTAGTTCCAGAACAGGCTCCAAAGCTACAGAGAAACCCTGTCTCAAAAAACCAAAAAAAAAAAGACTTTGCCCTTTGAAAACTTTCTAGGGTCTCTGAGTTTTCTGGGAGAAAAAAAGCAAGTGTTTAAAGCTATAAAATAGCCAGAAGGCCATCAAGCAAAGAGCATACCACAGTAATGTGTTTGGTTTAAGAAAATTCAGTTATCCAAATGTGTTGTTTGGTCAGTAGCAAGTCTGAACATACGCCGTTCTGAGTTAAGATAAAGATTGTTTTGGCACTGGTTTGAGTGTGTGTCAACAACCAGAGAGACTGTTGTAGAGCTCTTCTGTCTAGGTAGCCAACTTTACAAGTTTACAAAGCCACTGGTTTTCCACATGTTCAAATTTAATAGGAAAATCAAGTAAGAAAATATATTTTATCCCAGGTTTTAGAAAATTGCAAAGCTTTCAGCCCTATCCACTAACTAAACTCATTCCAAGAACTTAAAACAGAAAACCCTAAAACTTTTACATTTTCAAGTCTTTTAAGAGGACCAAGTATAGAACACAGGAAGGCCCTGTTATGGTTGCCTGTTTTTTTCCTAAGTACTACCTACTTGGAAGGTTATTAGTGCCATTAGCCTGTGCTAACCAACAGAACACCATGTCTTCTGTTCTCCCATAGTGCCATTAAGGAGGAGCACGGTTTCTTTCCACCAGGTTAACCTCAAGACATTTGAAGAGTTGCCTTAATAATTAGTAAAGTTTACTAGAACTAATTGTGAGCTTATTTATATTCTCAGAACCCTACTCTCTGTGTTAGGATTATGGGCAGGTGAATTAAAATCATTACTAGGCACATAAAGCACATTGCTTACATGCCAAACAAAAGAATGCAAAGATATTAAAATTGAGGGATTTTCTCCATATATTTACAATGAAAATTTGCAGTATATGTCATCAAGAAAAGTGCAAAACAGCAAGCACTCCCTGCCTATTCCACTTATACCACAGGTTCAACTTGGATATTAATTATGCATGTAGCTCCTTGTTTTCACATCACCTTCTGTGCCTCCTACATAAATAATAAGTCAATAATGTGATGATTTTAGCAGCTGTTATGACTTAAAAGCACCAATATATTTAGACACAGAGACCATGAGAAAAGTATTTCTAGTTAGGAACTTGGGTTTTACACAAGCAATTTCCAATCAAGATTACTGAGGCTGAAGTTATTTGGTAAGCAATTGTCTAGTAGAAATCATATCCTGGAAATCCTAGTGTGCATTTTCCCAAGGCCTCATTAAACTTAATGTGGTTAGCAAACATTTAGGTGAATAAATTGACATGAGCAGTGGCATCCCAATTCATCCCTATGGATGTGCTTTTTCTGCTATAATTAGTACACTTAGCTACCCCAAGTTTGTGACCTGTCTCTTATGTTCAGATTAGTGACTGAAAAATGATCCTGCTAATCTTTCAAGCTATAGCTTCCTAAGTAGTAGGAAATGTAAATTTGTTCACTCTTGGTAGAAAATAAGTGGTCTAGATTCAGTGTGCTAAATCTGTGAATTCAACAGTCTGAGTACAATGAAGTGTGGGGTTTTTCGCCTCTGAGGAGGCTGGGGCTTCTGTTTCTTGTAACATGACCAACATCCCAGAGCCAGTGTAGTTATTGTCCTGGTTGATAGGAAAAATAGACATTTAGTGAATGATTCCTCAGTAAATAAGACCTGGAAAATAGTCAAAATTATAAAAATCTTTATTTTTCTATACGAGACATTCAAAAACTCCTTTAACAAAAGTAGTAGAAAGCTGCTGTTGAATTAAGTTATTCCATGATGTAGGCCAGGCCTTCCCAGTTAATTCAAACAATACAAAATGGCAGTATAGGTTTCTAATTCTAATTCAAATTTGATTGGTTAATATACTTCAGATGGAAATTCTAGGGAAAGTAAGCAAAATTGTTCAATAAGCAAAGATGAAACTTTCAGTTTTTCTTGACAAAACAAAGTAAACTGTTGGTCACACTGGATAAGATTGTGTTTAACAATGTACCTAGTAAGTATGATATGGGAGTGGGAATCTTGGTAATTTTATGTTGTTTATTTATGATTATTGTTTTGTCTTGGATTTAATAAATATTTTAAAAGTCACCCTACTTAGAAATCTTTTGTGAGGGACTAGTGGGAGGGGAGATTATGAACCAAGTTCAGGAATCAACCAAAACACCAGGGGTTAGATTGTGCAAGTGTCAACCAGCAAAGCTCAGCTGAAGTCAGGTTTCCCAGGATTTACAACTATCCTACAAAACCCAGTTCATGTGCTTTGAAATTATTGTGGCTTATGCAGCTCTCGGGTTGGCAAAGCTCAGTTATGGTGAAGTTGAATGCAAGCTTTTAAAAGGAGGGAGTGAAGTCCTTGAGAGGCACAGTATTATCTAGTAGCTGACTGCAAGGTGGGAAAGTGGGCTACTGTGCTGCTTTCTGTAATTCAGAAAGTTTCTTTGTTGAAGTAGAATTGAACCTTCCTAGGATCAAGACTTGAGTATCGCTGACAGCATTTGCGCAGGCTCCTTGCCAAAGTCCGAGGGCCGCATAAGAAAACCCCCACTACAGACCTGTAGGAATAGAGCAACAGTAATTACCCAGATGCAATGAAAGCTGTTAGTGGAAATGGAGAACAGCCTCTGCTACTCCCAGCAATGTCGAGCTGTGTGTGACTGGGTCCATCATCATTCTGTCCTTTGCTGGGGTGCACATGGCCACATGGCCCCCACCATTCTCTGAGGAGCTATTAGTAATGGTTGCTGAGGGAAAGAGTCATTTTCACCATTTTCTTCAGTCCTATAGCTACTGGAAACTTGCCAATGCTGGAAGCAGCCCTAATTAAACTTACTAGGTCACCAAAAAGGGAGGAAAAAGAACCCATGAAAGTGGAAGAGGGATGAGTACCAGCAGGAGTGGGAGGGGCACAAGATAGGAAGTAAATAGGATTGAAATTCAAGTGATCGGCCCTAAAACCACACATAAAGTTAACATTAAACTGAGCAGGTGGTATTTATATAAATTATTTTAGGAAAAAATGTATTCCCATATATGTGTGTATATATGTTTATATACACACATATATGGAAATATATATAGCCATGAATTTGAGGTGGAAGGAATTGGGGGAGGAAATAATGTACTTACTTTAACTCCAAAAAATAAAAATATTTGAAATACATTATATACATGTACGAAAATATAATGAAGCTGGGTGGTGGTGGCACACGTCTTTAATCTCAGCACTTGGGAGGCAGAGACAGGCAGATCTCTGTGAGTTTGAGGCCAGCCTGGTTGACGAGAGCTAGTTCCGGGACAGGATCCAAAACTACAGAGAAACCCTGTCTCGAAAAACCAAAAAAAAAAAAAAAAAGAAAAGAAAATATAATGAAACCCATTGTATATAATTTATATGTTCTGATTCAAAAAATTTAAATTCAGTTGTTGAAATCCTCCTTCCAAGAAAATTTTTTCTTAACATTTTGTTTCCAAGTCCTAAGTATGCTCTCAGCCTTCCCCCATTTGATTGAGACACAAGATACTGAGCAATACTGCTGTTAAATGATAGGCTTTGGGGCAGGGGCAGGAGAAAAAGACAGGAGAAATTAAGAGGACGATCAGGGAGAGATCTAGTTTGTCTTTGATGCTAAGTGAAGAGACCTCAGCCCAGATGATAAAACCAAAATGACCTACCGAGATAATGCAAGGTTTTTTCTAAAGACAAGTCAAACAAGAATGTTAATTAAATCGATGAACTGTGCTTACTCAGGCCTAGAGCATCATCCTGAGTTTTGCCATAGAGGCTTCCCTATCTCATACTTCACAAAAGCACCTGACAACTTCGTTCACAAAAGAATAACACTTAAGTAAAGAAAGTTTTATTCATTTTTAACTCCCCTGAATTTTAAGCTTTGTTTCCATATTAAACCATGTAAAGTATACCCTCTGGGGAATGTTAAACCCAATGACAGGATTATACATTGTCATTGTGAAAGTACATAGATGCAACTCTCTTAAGAAGCCTGTGTCCATGTCTTGGGATTATATACTGCCCTTGTCCTATATGATTCTCTGTTGAAATACTTAAACTCATGAACTTGCTTCGTTTTGGTTGGTCTTCAAATTCTTTTCTGCCAAATAATCAAGGCTTTGGCTTTTCCTGAATGGAGGTCCCTAAGGGGGAAGGGTTGAGCTATCTCAGCTAGTGCAGGCAGAGGCCAGCTCTGCCATCCCACCTATGTCACTATGTCATCTCTTTCTCTTTAGAGAATTGGAATTCAAGTAGAACCTACCTTGCAGGGTTCTTCTGAGAATTACAGACATGAAATAGATGGAAAAGTACCTGTCCTGCAGCAAGTGCATATGAGCTAAGTGCTATATAAAGAAGCTTTTGTGAACTTATCCCCACCCCAAACTTTACTGTGCCTTTGAAGGAGGTATTCTGCCAAAGCCAACCTTCCTAATTATGCTGTGGATATCAACTTCTCTTTTTAAGTCTAATTATGGCATAGTACATGTACCATAAAATGCACCCTTTGAACTGTACCATTAATGCTTTTTAGCATAACCACAGCGTAACCACAAAGTTA